CACACACACACACACACACACACACACACACACACACACACTGATGGTGTTCACATATCCAGCTGCCCTGGGGCACACTGACAGACGGGCTGCCATGTACCAGCACCACCAGACCCTACAAACAAAATCTTTGCCTTAAAATGCATTCCACAAAAGTAGCATAGAGAAAAGCTAAAATGTTACATTAGCTCAAATATCTGGACAGTAACTACCTAGTCAAGTTTATTGAAAGTTTTCAATTCAGAGATTGTAATTGTTTTACTGATACTGGTCAGAAGGACAGCTTGACAAATGTTGGTTGTTAGCGTTCTAAAATAGCTGGAATCATGCGTGCCAATATTAAACAAGAAAACATTATGATTATAAATCACAATTCACAACCATTCAGTGTCAAATGAACTGATTTTGAATTGGCATGTAAAACACCTAATCTTTCAAATGTTAAAATCTGTGATTCTTGTGGATACACACCAGAATTTTTCTGTATTTTTCCCAATATAGATGAATGGGGGCTTGGCTGTACACATCTCTGTACTTTGTTAAGCATTACTAACCCATAGACTGTGAATATCAAGGTAATTGTAAACCTCGCCACTCAGCCAGACAATCACTGCCCAACTAAAGGAACATGTTGCCGTATTCCTCAGGAGGCTGAGAAGTGTGATGACACATACCATGTGACATTAAAGAGGCATTGTGAATATTGTAAAAAAAAAAAACTTATCTGAAATATGTTTGCAGTTTCAGTTTATGATGATTGAAACATTCAAGCACAGATCTGCCATTATACCTTTCACAAAGAAACAATGAATCAAATGAAAAAAAAAATAAAAAAAATAGGTTTTTCTAACATTTGTTTGAATTCCACAGACACTGGTTCTGAAATAACATTAAAGTAGTGCATAATTTCTTTAACAATAAGTGACTTCTTTTTGGCATGCAAGATACGAAGGCACTGCAATTGAACAAGTGGGCTACTAGCAGGAAATATTTAAATATTGGCACAAAACAAACACAAGAAAGACAGCACAGAAACAATCAAAACTATTGTTTGGCAATCAATTGTGAGTTGGTAAGACAGAGTATTTGTTTCTTCTCTATAAGGGTAGAATGGAAGAAAGATGTGCAAAGGGGAAGAGCAGTTTTGTGCAAAGTCTACAACAAAATGAATCAATAGATGTGTGTTAAATGTCCAGTTTGGTCTGTAGTTTGGGTCTCCCGAGCTGTCTGGTCGGCCCGATGCGTCTTCCAGCATGTGTGCGCTGATGCTGTCGCAGGCCCTGGCGGTAAATGAAGCTCTTTCCACAGTCTCCACACTCATATGGTCTCTCTCCAGTATGAAGCCTGCGGTGAACCTTCAGCTCCTCAGCTCTGGAGTAGCCTTTCCCACAGACATTACAAATGAATGGTCTGTCTTTAATATGGGTCTGGTAATGTGCATTTAGATAAGAGTTAATCTGAAATGCCTTGCCACAAATGGAACATGCAAATGGCCTCTCTCCAGAGTGCTGCATCTCATGGAGTTTGAGAGAGGAAGCTGTGTGGAAACCTTTTCCACACTGGGAGCAGAGGAAGGGTTTCTCCCCCGTATGGATGCGCTGATGGATTTGTATGTAACTCTCATTAATGAACCTTTTGCCGCAGTCAGGGCACGAATAGGGCTTCTCCTTGACGTGGGTTTTCATGTGTTCCTCCATTTTTTTGCTATCATCAAACTGAACCCCACAGCGGCGGCAGAAGAAAAACTGTGACGAGGTTTGCTCGACTGACTCAGGGACTGTCTCGCTGCTGTGGGTAGTGATGTAGTGTGCTTGTAAAGCTGACTGGCTCTCATAGTCCTTTCCACATTCCAAGCAGCGAATGGATAATCGGACCTTGGATTCTCCAGGCAGAGACTTCAAGTACTCAGAAAGTTCTGAGGCAGTGGGAGTCACCTGATCACAGTCTACAGCACCCTTTCGACCTACACAGGAATTGAATAGATATAGCAATATTTGCATGATTTAGAAGTTAAATTTCCACATTTTTAATGATGGATTTTTCTGCGAAGCTAAGACAAGGATTTAATATGCAGGGTAAAATTAAAATAAAACAAAGTTTCATCACCAAGCACAAAAGATTCATAGAAAAGTTGTTTTAATTATATTTTATAAACTATTTAGTTTTAACAAAAAGAAGCCTTCAATAACTTTACTGTACTCCATGTAGGTGTACAACATTGCTGACAACTCTCACCAAGGTGGACTTTGTAGTGCGTTTTCAGATTTCCCTTCTGGTTAAAACCCCGACCACAGACGGAGCAGGAGTACGGTTTCTCCCCAGTATGAATCAACTCGTGTCGCTCGAGTTTGTAGGCGTGAGGAAATTCTTTGCCACAAATTGAGCAGCGATACTCAATCTTCTCTTTGGGTCTTTTTAGCAGCTCAGGAGGTATTTCTATTGGTAAACGAACCCTCTTTCTTCTGGGGCACCTCCTTCCTAAACGGGGAAGAAAAATAAAACAGTAAAATAAAAATATACTTTTCATAAAACCTTTGTTAGGGTATTTGACCCTAGGTGTGAGTGAGATGTAATGGTTGACTTTCTAGTTTGTCTAAATGTCCACCCTCTGATGGACTGGCGACCTATCTGGTGTGACAGCACACAAGAAAGCAGTTAAAAGAAAATCAATGGACGTTTAAAATCCAGTTAGTTTCAGACCAAAATACAGTTACTTTGTTGAATAACTCATTCCGAAATTCTTCTCTGATTCAAAGCAGCTGTACTCACACAAAGTCTGGCAAAGTGGCAGATATTGTAGTTACTTTTACATTTTCATTTGCTATTTTTAGGAACTAAATTCATCTCTGACTGCTTGTCAGCTATGTGTTTAAAGAAGCACAACACTCTGTCTTTGTTGATATTGGTGGCTTGTTCCATAAATTTTATAAATAATCACCTTTTGGGAGCATTTTTCCTAAAACTAGTCACTTGTTTAGAGTTTGTTTTTTAAAAATCCTACTTTTTTCTGTCACATCTGCCAACCCTGATAACTGTGTCACACCCTGTTTAGTTAGATGAATTATTTGCTTACCGTTTAGTAAAGTCACATAAACTGTTATGCCGCCAAGTCAAACACAGCTGAAACTGGACTACCACAGAGTAAACTTTCCTGCTTTCTCTTCTCCTTTTTGAACCAGTCATCATAAATAAAGGTGCTTCTGCAGATCAGCAGCAGCAGTAATAAGAGTTAAACACTTCTGGAAGCCCATTCGACTTGTTCTTACCAGCTGAAACACCTGAGTTCTCTCCTTCTGTTTCAGCACCAGGTTTGATATTTTTCTTCATTTTATAAGGTTGCTTTGCTGCAGTAAAACAAAGAAAACCATTTTAGTTCAACATGAAACTAATATATCACTACAGCTGTAACATTAAAAACATCTTACAATACAAATGCATTGGGTGGACATACTTTTCCGAGTTTATCAGTGCCTGAATGATGTTTGTGTGTGTGTGTTGTTGACACTACAGCAGATTAGAGGGTAAGGCTGCAAAACACATCTTTATTTTCCACATAAAAAAAAAAAAAAAATCAGTGAAATCTGCAGCCTGTGTAGCTCTTCCTCCAATTAAATCTCTTTAAATAATTTTCCTACGAACCCCAGGGTGCAATGGTTGGAAGATTTTACAATGAATCCCTCACAAAAACAATCACTTCTGTTTATGAAACATAAACGCAACAAATCAATGAGCAGAACCAGAGTCAGAATGAGTTAAATAAATCTATATAAATATAAGTTTTCTTGTCTTACCAGCAGCACGGCGAGTCGTTTTTGATTTTATTTCTTCTGGCTCAGCTATGGTGCGAATATTTCTCTTTCTAAGGCTACGCCTTGATGCTATAAAACACAAAGATGAAGTAAAGTAAAGTGAGTAAATAGAAATTTTCTGATTCTTACAGTGGCAGTAAACACTAACCTCCCCGATCTGCTCCTGAAATGTCACCAGAAAATTGTTGAGTTTGAGATTTTTGTCCTTTACTTCTTCTTTTTGCTTATGAATAAAGACAAAAAAAGAATATTACACAAAATATACTGTACAGACAATTGCAAAAAAGCAAACTGAATATTATGATTAATTCAAATCCTGAAGATGCATATATTTTATGCTTCCTATCACTCACCAGCATTTGCAGGCATGCCTTTCTCCATGTCCAACATATCTAAAGACTCAGCTGGAACCTTTGTCTGTCGTTTTGCTCTCTTTCCTGCCAAAATGAGAAAAGAATAACTTTAGTAAGTGATGATAATTGTTTTTTTTTTTCACCTGTTTTGTATATACTCTTCACCAACATTTACCAAAATGTAAAGGTGAGGAAGTYGTCTTTTTTTCTGTCTCTTTCTGTTCCTTTTCCTCCCCTGACACAGCTTCCATGAGGAGTGTGGAGCCACTGGTGCCCCTCTGGTTTTCCTCTTGCAGCTGAGAGGCAGACAAGAGAATCCCTCTCTGCGTGACATCATTTATGTCCAAACAAATCTGCACGTTATGTGTCACTATGTTAGAAAAAGTTACATCTCATAAAGTGAAAACATTTACCTTCCCAGGCTGGGAAACCTCTGAGCCATCAGAGCCATGGTTACAGGAGTCTCCTGTAATGACAGATGGGGAGAAGTACTRTTATTTACTGAGAAATTTAAACGATTTGCATGCTAAAAACATAAGTTATGCTCCTTTGAATTCTGTTTTTCCTTTTTTGGTAATGCTGTGTAAGTGAGGCGGTACTGTGGGCAGTACTGAACGGTACTCTGTCAGCTCAGGGGAAGAATAAAGTCACTGTACAAAGTATCACAGATAATGATTACTAACAACACATTATTGAAGCAGGAGGAAGGCTGCTGTCACAGAGCTGCTTAAGGGACAGGCTTTAAAAAGCTTTAGTCCCGGAGCCTTCAGGGAAAATTAATACTTGAAGCTTTGCTCCTCATTTTCCGACCTTTTTAAATAAAATCCATATATAGATAATCAACTCTGCTTGTAGGCATTGAAATCTTATTTTAATGCTGCATAATTCAGCTGCTGCGTTAATGAGTTTTCAGTTCAAATATTGTGTCACGTGCTAAAAACACAATGTCCTTCCACTGTCCTGTTTTATAAACTTTTTAAAATGTTATTTCTAGCTTAGGTGTTGCTTAAATTATCAAATGTGTTTAATTAAAGTCAGGTCCTCCTTTTTTCAAGCATTTTTTATTCTAACAAATTTACACGTGAAAGAGAAACAAAAATTCAACCTTCAGACAGATAAATGTGCATTTCTCACAATGGTTGTGGACGTGTGCAGCTCTCAACAACTTACTACCGTCCCACTCAACCACTTCTCCATCAGCGTTGATGAAGCCTCCGATTTCCTCATCTCGCTCCTCGTCGTCCTCTTTTTCCCCAGCCTGTAGTCTGACAGTCAGCTGGAGCGTTTTATCGTTTAGGTTTTTGTTTGCCATCATTTATTTGCGCGACGTCAGGCGGGAACGATCAGGAGAGCCCTGAACACAGATGACAGGGATGTTTTTTTCTCTCTAACTTAAAAAAAAAAACAACTCTGGCTCCAAGAAGTTTCAAAATCCCTGATAACATTTGAAACAAAACTAGTGATTGTAGGATTTTACAAAAGGAACAATGTACCAGGAGTTAAACTCTGCCTCTGATGCTGTGAAGTCTGCTCACCAAAGTTTCCATTTAGACTCATAGACAACTAGTCTTGAGCTCAGAGTCCAGATAAGACACAGACAAGAGATGAATGTTGAAAAGAAGCTTCAATGTTTGTTGGCGCGACACAAAATGGTGAGGGGGAAAAAAGAGAATAATGCTTTTAACWAACACAAGTTTCATCTGGTAGAAATACACCCAACACCACTGGATATATGCTGATGTAAATTCTCAGATAAATTCAGGACATAGCAAATCTAAAAGGTATAAACAAAAAAAAGCAATCAGACTTCTGTAGCTGAAGATGTGTGGATATTATCAGTATTTGACTTGATCCACGTATCTCTACTTCAATGACGTTAAAGTTGGATGAAAAAAAGACTTGATCATTCAGACTGAGGTCACTGTGAAAAACACTGAATGTGTATCTAATTTAGTTACAATGTATTAAAGTAACCTGGGTCAGGTTTAAAGAAATTGGATTTGTGACACCCAGACTGTCATTAAGAAAACAGATATGGGTCACATATGAGTAGAAAAAAGTTTTTTGAGTCACTTTTTCCCATAGTGTGAGGTGGCCTGTTTTACTCAAGCAAAGTATAACCAACAAAACAAATCATTTCTGTTTCTATTTCATGACATAAAATCAGCCATGGCAAATAACTAGTTCATGTCATATTTACTATCTTTGAGTGATGTCCCAGTAGCTTTCAAACCCCAAAACACATTACGGCAAAGGCTGGTTCACCCCAAAGATCCGGTGCCCCGGCACAAACAGAGCAATGTTGTATATGCTGTKAAGTGCCAGGAGGACTGCGACCAGTTATACATCGGGGAAACAAAGCAGCCACTGTTCAAAAGAATGTCCCAACACAGACGAGCTACATCTAATGGCCAGAACTCTGCAGTTTTCACTCATTTACAGGCCAGCGGTCACTCTTTCAGAGATGAGGATGTTCTCATTCTTGATAGAGAGGAACATTGGTTTGAGAGAGGAGTAAAAGAAGCCATTTTTGTGAAGAAAGACCGTCCATCATTAAACAGAGGTGGAGGCCTCCGGTTTCAGTTGTCCCCCTCCTACAGCGCGGCCATTGCCAGTATCACTCCACCCCCTGTTAACAATAGGTATTAATTAGGTGTGAACGATAGCCATGTGATGTGAGTATCAGTCACATGGAGGCAGGGCTTAAAAAGCCTGAATTTTGCCTGAAACTCTCAGACTGAAGAAGTCTCTTGGAAGAGAGACGAAACGTTTCATTAAAGAAGAACCCGTCCAGAGGACCTATATATATWTTTTTCCTTTATCTTTGAAACGATGCAATAATTGTATGAAAGTCAAAACATTTATAAAATTAAGGGCTTTGCCCCCTCAATCTTTCAAGATCCTAACAACACCCCTGGATTTTGTCACAAAATGATTTGTTAGTGATGTCAGCCTTAAAATTTTATTTTAAAATTTGTTTAAATACTTCTTTAAAATGCTCAAAGTATCCATAATCACTGGTTTTTGTTTGCTGGTGGTGGTGGTGGTGGTGGGGTGATAAAGGTCCATAATCAGCTGTAAAAAGGGGCGTAACCTTTTTCAGTAAATACCTGCCTTCAGGTAGCCTGGCTGAACCTGGTTTGATGTGCGGATAAAAGGATATAATCAGAACGGAACGCCACTAAACGACCTGCTAACATGGTCCATTTTCTTATTTGCTGTCTCTGTATAAACCGGGTCAACCAGTCTATCAGTGGTTGCCTCTTTAAAAGGCAGCTTTGTTTTTTCCCCCCTTGATATTACCTCAGACGTAAGGCGAGGTGGGAGCCAGCTTTGAAGGACGTCATTAGAAAACCAAGTAAAAAAAGCCAAGTTGGCCCAGATGTAAGCAGCTGGATGAAGTAACGCTAATTCTCCTTCCTCCTCCTCATCTCTTCTTCTTCGAGGTTTTACTGCACTTTTTCATCTTCGCTGCTGTAAGACCGCCTCCTGGTTTCAGTCTTCCACGGTGTGCGCGCGCACAGGGTTTATTCCAGGAAGTGTTTACAAAATTATTACTGTTGTTTGTGATTATAGGACATATTTTTTGTTGCTGGCAATCATTGATACCTTGTGTGAGGTGTTTGGTGTCTGTCCAGACATGAGGAGGTGGTAATTTTTATCCTCAATATTTTTAAATCAATACATTTGTGATGCCAGAAAAAAAAATAATAATAAATTCCACTTTTTTTTACTTTATTGCGAAAATACAAATCTTACAAGCAGACAWACTTCTTATTCAAGAACCTTTGTTACAATAAGTCGTTGAAAAACAAGGAACAAAGAAAGTATGAAAGCCGTTTAACAAGAAACAACAGGATTACAATAGAAAATATGCATAAAGCATATTAAGCTAAACAGTAGGAAATAATGTAATGGGTCTCAGTCATTAACATTTGAATATATGTGTCAAAAAACAACCTGGACATACCATTATAGAGGAGAGCTGCATTCTTTGTTTAAATCATTTTCATAGMTTTTAWGTGAAGTGACATTTCTTTTAGAYAGCAYAGAAGGTTAGGGGTAATTTTCTAAAATTTACATTTGTGCAAGTAATATTTAGCYATAATKATCAGGTTATTAACTATTAAATCAAATTTTGTGTCCACAGAATTAAAGCCATTAATATTGTTAAAGTTGGGATATTTAAATTATTGGCCAACAACCAATTATGAAGATCCGTCCAAAATTTAGAAGCATAATTCCAAGAGAAAAATAAATGTTGCATAGTTTCTATATCAGATTGACAGAAAGTACAATCATTTGCCTCAATATTAAATTATAGTCTCAAGTATACTTTACATAAGTATATGTCATTTAAAATCTTAAAATGTATTTCTTTGCTTTTTGGGATAAAGGGAATTTTAAATAGTTGCATCTAATTTTCTTACATATATTAAAAGAAAAATCTGAAATCAACATATTTGGTTGATTCATTTCACTTTTTCTTCTGAGAGGCACCACCAAATTGTGACAGGCCAGGGTTGCCAGATAGGAAAACATCATACTGAAACCTTAAAGTGATTATAGTTTGAGCCAGTCTTTTAAATGTGCTAAGTGAGAGTGCTAACACAACTCTCATTTGTGCTAAGTGAAGGTACTTTTAGATGAGGGGTTTGTGATTTACACAGGAAAAAGGGAGATTGCACAGTCCGGCTGGTTAAGACCATGTTGATAGTTCATGCGAATAAAAACAAGAGGGCTTTTTCTTTGTTCTTGTGAATGGAAATGCCAAAACTATAGTGTAGTTGGACTTTTTTAAAAACAATATTATGTACATACTGTATATAT